GAAAGCCGCACCTCTCACTCGAGGGAGGAGAGAAGTCGGTCCTTAGACCGACGTGGCTAGAAACGCCGTTATTCTTCTCTTTCAGGATACCTCAATGATTATTTTGAGAATTACGACGCGGCCTTTTATTTTGCTGGAGTCCCCCCCATCATCGGCGCCTTGGTGCTCTCCGTCGTCCCGCTGGTCCATCAGCGGATGCTGAAGAAGCAGCGCCTGGACCCCGGCAAAGACAAGATGCTGGTCTCGGAGGCGGTGGTGAACGGGGAGCTGCTGCCGGGCTCTCCTGCCTCCGAAGCACACGTGTAACGCCGACACTCGCTGTCTTGCCACCAGCAGCCTCTCCGTAGCCCAAGCACAGGTCCTTTTCTAGACGGGCCGTAATTCTCAATGATCGCAGATGCACTATGTTTGTAAAGGAAGAAAAACACAGAGAAGTTCTTCTAGTTAAAGGCTCTTAACTAGCAGAAACGCTCATTTTCCAGACAGTTTTGATTTCAAAGCCACCTTCTTTTTTTTCTTCCCCCCCCCCCCCACCCATTTTTCTACAGAGAAGTCTCAGCAGGATTCCAACTTGATCGATCTCCCGCTCCTCTCCCCAGTTTTCTAGACATCACGACCGAGGTTTACAGCTAATAAATGCCTTTTTAAAGCAGGCCACTGAAGGAGCTTGCTGAACCTTGCGGCTGTCCATCCTCCTCCTCCCTCCGGTGTCACTTGGTGTCACCTCCAAGCTCGACAGCCCCCTCCCCGTCCAGCGCCAGGGGCTGTTTTGGAGCCGGCAGATCTGAAGGAGGAAACGCTGCTTTCGTCCGACGCACAAACCGAAGAAATGGCCGTCAAGTTTCCACTTCGATCTTCTCTCCTCCTTTCCCGCTGCGCTCCCACGCACCCAGGGAGCTGCAGCTGGGACGATGGGGAGCTCGTCCGGCTCCGATCCTGCCACCGTCATCGAACAGAGCCATGCGGGAGCACCCCTTTCCTGCACAATATGCCTTAAAAACACAGGGACAAGACCAGCAAGGTCCCTCGGCCACTTTCTGCCTCCGTTTTCTCACCCGGCGACTAACGATTGGGCTTTGGAGGTGCAAAAGAGAGGGGCAGCTCCCAGCGCAGCCCACCGCGGCCAGCTCTGCAAGGTGAAATCCGTGGGCAAGCTGCCGAGACGGGCGCTTCGGAGGCGTCGAGGCGCGCAGGGTTGGGACAGAGACCCGCGTGTCCGTGGGTCTGCTCCGTACCAGGAGATGGGTTCCCTGCGCCCGGGCATGCAGCCGGCTCGGGCACGGGGGTACCCGCGGATGCGGGGGTGCAGGCCGCCCAGGCATTGGG